TTGATTTGGCAACATAATCAGTTACCGTAATAGTTAAGTAAAACACGAATATTATGTCATCGTTTTGACGTGAATTGTAAATATATAAATTACTAGACAAAACAAAACAAAAAGTTATTGAAATACCCATTATATTTATATACCTATTAAGACAAGTACCTATATACGAAAAGCATTAMGTATTTCACTTACAGCACTGGTACGTTCTGATAATTTGACATGTAGATAAGTTTTATGGGCAATTCAAATTTAATGGCGTGGATAWTTTAAAATTGAGATTTCGAGTGAAATAATGTGGACCATTTTAGAACTTCGTTCAATTTGTCAAATTCGATGATTTATCTATAGCGTATTGCTTTCAAATGCTTATAATCACATTACACCATTCTTCACTGTCTATATATAAGAACTCGAAACAATATGATAAATGCCCCCAAGTCCAACGACGACGAGTCTGGTCTGACCTGATTTTATTCAAGAAGGTACTATATATTACACTTATAGCCGGGGTGGCCAACTTGCCATAGTCGTCACACTGTCATAGTCGTATGCCGCTCGTGTTTTATTTTAAAAAAACCAATATTCACTTATTAACGATAAAATCATAAAAATATATTTATAACATATTGGCTCTTGATATCATTATATTTATCCTTGTGGCTCGTAGACGTATTCATGTTGGCCACTCTCCTACTACCTATATATAGGTACAATATTATTGATTGCCTACGTATTTCTTTCGCATTTATACAATTTTGTCCTCGACTTCTACTGTAACGTGTTTTTTTTAGATATTTTTCCATATTTATTTACTCAGACGTATTTCTTAGACCTTTAACAGCGTGTCGCCATTTTTTTTTTTGCCAGTGCCATTTTTTTTCATCTTATACACATCGTACGACGATGCCCCCTGCGGTTTAACTATAATATAATATGTTTCTCTCTTTTTCATCGAAAAAAAAAAAAAAATTAATAGCCTTAGCGTTTTCCACGTTTTGCTTTTTCAGTACCAGTTACACGAGCGCCGCATACGTGGCCAATCCCAACGTTTTGGTGCGTGTCAATTCGGTGACCAGCACCAGCGGTACTTATGCGACGATCAGAAGCGTGCGGAAAACAGCTGCGTCGATGGCAGATGACGACCACCCGAACCACTGCGTCGGAGTCGCCGGAAACAAAGGCAGCAGTCACGTGTCACCTTACGCCACCAGCTACGTGGCGACGGCGGCCGGAAGTAATAATTATCACGTCTACTCGAAACCCGCGTCGCCCACGCCATCCAAGATATCGTATTACGCCTGCACGCCACTGGTGAGTATGTCATCTCGGCCGGCGAAAACCTCCGAAACCGTCGTAACAATAATATCTCATAATTTATAGCGATATAATATCGACATGGAATTAGAATAATATAGATAGGTAGGTGCTAGCTGTGAGTTAATCGTTTTACACTCATTAAGTATAACGTAGATAAAGGAGCACTACGCTTATATACTCATAATATAGGTTARGTTAGGTTAGGTTGCATATTATACAACGTGATAAACATTAAGCATATTCATCCACCTTTTCCTCCAATAATGCAGTTATTCAAAATCTGATTTTATGTTAGGTTAATCATCCTGTATAATATATTATACGCGTGCATATAGTTTTAATGTGCTAAAAACACRCTGCTGTTTCAAAACAGCATACGTGCACAGCTGCTGATTCTACTGTGACAAGCCATTCATATGTTTATTTAGGTCTTTATTTATTTATATCCATACCCACTACACGTCTTATAGATCACATTTGAACGTGTATTTTCGCCGACATTTCTACCATAATACCCTCTCTTGTAGTAATGTTCAATATCCCAGTATAGGAAACCATTAACGCAWAATTTCGGTTTATCGTTATATGTGATAAATTATAATATATATTATAGGTAGGTACTATTAAGTAAGGGGGTTTCCGTATTCGAACTCACCTCCCCCCTTACAAACAAATTATTGTTGATTGCGTCTTTTATATTAACATTATGACTTTGGGGAAGGAAAATTTCATGAATTTCGTCTTTAAAATATGATAACAGTTGTATAAATCGATTATAAGAGTTTTCTCAAACGTAAAATTTATATTTTTTTAATAAACTTTACCTAGAAAAAGTAATATATTTATAAATTATATTTATGATGAATATAACAATAATTATGTATAAAATATAGATTATTATGTTCCAGTTATTATTGTTTCTAGATATAAAGTGTATATGAATTCATCATTATTTATGTACTTGACAAATGTAGTAGGTAGGTAACATAGGTACCTAACACGCATGACAATACAGTTTGTTACGATATCATTATATTATATTGCATCAAACTTCAAACAATAATAATATTCACACATTTTAATCCTCTATAGTCTATATACGTATACTTTAAAAAAGTTGTAAGAGTTTGAAAACAAAAAAGAATTATTATGAAAGTAACATTACAAATAGTTCAAACAAATGAGAGCGATTCGCGTGCCAAGAAGCTATTCGCGTTAGAAATTTCCATACTTGACATATTATACATATTACATATAGGTATAACACATTGTATTATAATTCACTGCGGTATTATACACATATAGGTATTATGAAATTATTATAATATATTTTATAAAATAATTTTTTTCTTATTAATCATTCAACAATAATTTGATTAATCAATATCAGTTCATAGGTATTAAGTATTAATTCAAATCTTGTTTTATAACACCGAAGGCAATAAAGTTGTACCTATATATTGTATTAAATATTCTGAAGCATTAAAACGCAATACATTAAAAATTAAAATCAATTAATTATCCACCAATAAGTTTTATAATTATAAATTTATAAATAACAACATTTAATTTTATAAATTCAATATAATATAATTACCATATAGGCTGCAATAATAGTTATTAGATCGCCGAGGGCTTATTCTTAAAAAAAAAAAAAAAAAAAAATAGTTATTAGTAAAATAGTACCTATTATTATAAACGTACATTATTTCATTTGTATAAATTTATAATAATATGTAAATATGTTTTATATATACTATACAATATACATACCTATATTTAATTTTTATTATAAATTTACAATGATATAATTAATATTTACTAAGATATATAATAATGTCTATTTTTTAAACATTATTTATTAATTTGCATTGGTTATAGTCAAAGAAATAGTAGTGACTTTGTAGGTATATGAAGATTACAAAAGATTATATAAGAATAATAAAGGAATTGGGGGATGTTAAGGACTGTGAGACTGCGAGACTGCGAGCCATGAGATTGAGTTAGACCTGAGTAGAGTTTATCGGCATGGTATGAACAGATAATGAAAGAGGTGAGCAACTGTAGAGGATTATATAGGGAAGAGAGACGCATGAATCCTTTGGGTTAGGGGTGAATCCTGACAAAGAAGACAATGTAGCCTCAAGGTTTAGAAGTAGTATACATCAAAGAATACAATAAGGGATGTGTTATCTCTATAACAAATATATAGGGTTGTCTTAATTTGAATTTAGTTGGTATTAAATTAATTTGTTTTAAAACTTACACTTTGTTCTTTCATTTAACCTGGTTTTTTTTTATTTAAAAAATCAATAAATTTTATGCATTTATAGGGTTATAACTACACTTATAACTGTGTAAGTAATTTAAAATAATAATTGATTATGTACCTATCCTTTTAAAGTTTTCATGTACAATAGTAATGAATGTTTTTTTATAATATTCTTTCTAAAAATTTATAAAATTGTGAACAAAATAAATAAATATTATTATTTTTTCGCTTTCATCAACAGTTACAACTTCAATTATAGTAATAATATGCTAATACAATTAAATAGTAATGTTTAAACTCTATTTTTTTTTTTCTGAATAGCATGAACCTATAAATTTTAAGTTAATTAATTTAATGTTTGATAATTAATTAAAATTCATGAGGGAAACCTTAAAAACAATCGTAAATAAATTGTATACATTGTGTAATAATAAAGTTTTTGGTGAGATGAACAGTTATTATTTATGCTGCTTTGGGAAACTGTATAATTCATTATTAATTATTATTCAACATAAAAGAAAGCTTTCATTCAACGATTAGTATTGCATTTGACTTGTAAATGAATTTGTATACATGCAGTGTAAAATACATTGATTTTGTTAATTTCTGAGATGTTTTTACATTTGGTTTTCGATAACCTGTTATTTAAAAATATACTGTTTGTCTTATTAAAATTAATCATTTAATAATTTAAAAACATTTTTCAATAATATTGTGTACCTATACAAAACTTGAAAGTAATTTTAAAAAAARCTTCATTATACATGACATTTCCAACAAGCATGAATAATGCGACTTTGAGTAATTCAATATTGTTGAAAGCTGAAACAAAAGTGCTTGAAAAACATTCAGAAACATAATATTATATAACTAAACTTGATTTAATCCGTATACTGTAAAAATATAATAACCTATAAACGCGTAAATCCGTGTCATTTACTACTATAATATTATCATGTGATTATAGGTATATTAAATAATATATTATATGGTTGTATAGTGCAATGCTCACCCCTAAGTATTAGTAGTTATACATTAATAATAATAATAATAATAATATTTATTGGCCAAAAGAAAAATAYAATTTCAATAAGTAATCATTGTAGGTATATATACATAATATGGTTAGATGGCCCATCTCACCACCGAGGATAACCTCTTATCGGTGATGATGAAGTACTATTAAGAGCTAAGTTAGTATATATTTATAATTTTATAATATTTTAGATATTTTGTAAGAAATTGCGTCATATCTGACTATAATTCAAAAACCTAAATAGACATATTATCTGTACAACTGTAGTAATAAAAGCATAAATTGAAATCAATATATATAAATAAAATATAAAAAAATAGAATAGATAAATAAATAGACTACACTATTGATATATTACATAGGGTGTAGGTCACTAGTATTATTTAACAACCATAATTTAATAGATTGTACATAGGTTTGTACATAGTATAATAGGGTATCTATGTGTTAATTAGTGTTATTCGTTACTTAACCGATCATTTTCCTATGGCCGCCGTTCGAGATTTTCACTGATATCCAATATTACATCCATAAATTAAATAGACACGTAAATTAACTCTAAAACACCCATTGTTCATCTATTCTATGCGTACACGTCTTGTCCATCAACTTCCCCGCTGCGTCCGTTCTTATCGAATTATGGTGAACCAAAAATCAATATACCTCTGTTACACTTTCCCCCTGGGTGACACGATCATTACGCAAAATCGTTTCGCGTGATTTAGGCCCATTACGACAGATAAATCATCCTCGCGGTCGCGACCATAATCGATTACCACCCTGCAAATGGGCACCAAGCCATTTAACAGGATTAGAAACACGAATACCCTCTCGGTATAGATAATGTCTTGAATCAATGTCCTGGCACATTTTTTCCTTTCTATTTATTTATTTATGTTTATTACCTATATTTTTTTGTTCCGCTTGGRCGAAACTTTGAGTGGAACTCTGCCAAAACGACGTCGTGACGTGGGCAAAAGTCGCAGTCGTCGTGTTTATTAAAGCCATTAAAGATTTCGGGTTAAAGGACCTTCCGCGTGCGTATTCGATCAATCACTTTTTTTTTCGACCACTGACAGTTTGGACGAGAAAAAGAGAACCGCCGCCGTCGTTATTTCAATACGCCGTCAAATACCTTTCATTCGTCATAATAATATTATGCTGTTCGTATAAAGTATAATAATGAGCGATCGGCGGACAAAATATAATAGTTACGAAACTAAAATCAACTCTCATTTATGACTAATTCATAAAATGTGTATTGCTAATGCACGTGCGGTCGGTCCTCTAATTATTTTCGCACCGGGAATTCGGACTACCCGTGTACACTGTACACACTCTGCATAGAACGTCCCCATCAACCATAATATGATATATCATATACCTACCTCCGACCGGTGATAAATTATTCGGCTGTAGTACGCCCGATTGCCGGACCGGAGAGTGACGTGATGGCGCCATTTTACATTATAATATWATATTATCATGTCCGTTATTGTTTACCGGAATTAGATGGCCGTTAACGATCGGAGAATGTGTGATGACTTGGACGAGCGTATACGACAGCTGGACTCGCGTGGCGCTTCCGTCAAGTTGGACAGACTCCTACAGGAGGGAGCTTTTGGCCGGGTGTATCAAGGCACGTACAAGCACAACAACGGTGGTGGATCGCAGGAAGTGCTCGTCAAGACCGTTACCGGTAAGTTATATAATACTCCGTGTCTATTACTTATAAGTGAATTAATAGTTCTTTTTTTGTATGCCTACCAAATAGTTTAATATTAAGTATGTACCTGTAAGACATATCTGCACGTCGCATGACGACTATTATTTTTAATAGTATTTAAAAAGCTCTCGTTACCTACTAATTATTATATGTAATAAGCTTTAAAYAGATTTAAGAAAAAAAAACAAATGTTATGTTATTCAAAGTAGGTAATAATAACAAGTGATCCATTTACAGTACAACACGTTATTTTAGGGTTGTGTATTCACAAATTTATCATAAAATATACAAATGCATCTACAAAGTACTATCACTATTATTATATAGTCGGTATTTGTTCGTAAAGGAATGATAAAAAATATTAATTTTTTATACATAAAATAATATTGTACACATTATATTTTGATTAGGTTAGGATTGTTTCAATTAAAACTGCGAAAAATAGGACTTTAGGGACAACTTAATAGATTAAAATCGATTTTGTGGAATATAGATAAAATATAAACGTTAGATCACATATGAATTTATCTTATTTATATATATATATATATATATGCTAAGCACTAATTTTGGTTATTGTATAATATAATATTAATAGGTCGTATACTCAGTGTTTAGTTTGTTCGTGAAAATTGAATCTTGYACAAATGTACACGTGTACGACACTGCAATGTAATCCTCTTAAACACAATTTTTCGATTCTTTATTTTATTTATCAAGAATGTAACTCGATACAATCGGTTGCATCTAATATTACTTTATTAAATATTGGCGAATCGTGAATTGCAAAAAGAAACTCCTTTTCAAGGTGTGTAATAAGACGGTGCGAGTTTGTGATCGTGCTGTATTTTATTACGCATCTATTTTTAGTTCTTTGTCAATTGGATGATTGAAAAATGGATTCCTACTCCTGAATATTTGCTGACTGGAATGTAAATTTACATAGGTACCTACCAAACTTCTGTGGAGAATTGCGTTCAATTTTTGTCTTTCAAACATACATCTATTCTTCTATATTATGCGCTTAATGCTTAAATATCAAAATAATTGAGTTTCACACAATGATTTCATGTTATGCTTTATATTAAATTAAATGCTTTTATACCTATATGGCTATTATTAAGTTTGTAAAATTCTGTTATAATCTAATCACATGGATAACCAATTTGACGCGGTGAACTATTTAATTACAATAGTTATCTATAGTCTATACGATAATATAATTAAGCTGCTCTTATTATCGGTACAATAAGTAGATGATTCACTAAGTATTTTTATTTAAAAGGTTTTAAAAATAAAGACAATGTTTTGTGATACGAGATGTAAAGATTGTATGCAACTAGAGGATAATTTATACATACATATATATATATATATATATATATATAATAATTATGTGTTATATGTAGTATGTACAATAACTCTATGCCTATTAACTAAAAATTTGAAGTTAAATACTTAAGTAATTACTAATGAATTTCGTCATAAATATTGAATAATATATTATTGACCTGTGACATCGGGTTTCATAAAAAAAGTGAATATAAATGTTTATAAAGTATTACTGAAAAAAAAATGACATCAACGTATATAATATAGTATATTTTGCACTTAAAAACTGACCCCCCCTCCCCAAATGGAAATCATTTTTATTTGAATATGCACAACTGATGGATATGATAAATTTAAAACTACCTACCTACGTTTGAAAACCACTATGTTATATAAAAAAAAAGGTTTGAGTTAAAAGGTTTTTTTTAAAGTTATTTACAATTAAAATTCTATGTTGATTTTATACAATGGTTATGTTTTGTAATCTGTGAACTTTTTCCAATTTAAACCTACTGAGGATTGTATATTGTTATGTTCATCTAAGTTTTTGGAATCATAAATTATTATTTTTTAAATAGCTAAAAATTTAGATCATACACATTCAAAAAAAAAAAAAAATAAAATAACGTAATACTGTTTCAGTTTATCTAAAAAAGCAATTGTAATTTAAAAAAGAGAGATAATATATATTATAATTTTAATTAGGTAAATAGAAATTATTACCATAACAATATTATTACAACGATTTACAATGTCACATATAAAAATGCCGTACATCGGCTTTAATATAATATATTGAACTGTGTCATTGTATTTATAAGACAAATTTTACCATTAATAATTTTCTAATTTATAATTTCATCAGCTGTGATGTAAACTATTTTATGAATCTATGAATTATATAATGTGATGCACATAAATAGTAAATACATGATAACTGATAAGTATTTGAAATAGCCATTAATAGTTTTCAATTTTATAGAGTGCATGACGTATTATGTAAATAAGTTTAATGTGTRTAGGTTTAAAAATAAAAACAAATTAATGCGAACTCTAAACTGTCACGACGTGTCAAAACACGATGTKCCAAAAGGAATTATCTGTCATATTTACCTTAGGAAAACGTGTGCTATTTTATTCTTTTAATACAATCCATTAAAATCAATTTACTTGTATAAATATTTAGTATACAGTCATCAAATCGCATTATTTAATATTTTATGAACTAAATAAACAATCATAATACGAATAGTTTTAAAGTTGAGTATCAAAAAAAATTAAATTCTGCGAATATATTATAAATGCATTTTGTATATTCGTTTTCTAAACGATAATAATATTTTCAATAGTAAATTTTAGTTCAGTATACATACAGACTAGATATTTGTAGGCATAAACAAAAATTAAATTAACAAAATATTATAAAAGGTGATAATCTTAACAGGGTTATCAGGGTTGTACTTTTACGTTGTATTACTTTTAGTCGCCAAGCGACCGTTATTTTAAAGGTATACTGACGGAAATTAAATAACCGTCCAACACTTATTATTTTCTATCAATATAGGTACTTTAATGTTAAAAATGTTAAATATTAATTATTATTATTAATAAAATATATATAAACCTATATAAGTTGACCGTAAAGTAATATGTGTGTTATTTCAATCTCTGAATCATTATAATATAGSTAAACAGTAATTGTATATAGGTACGTATTTTTATCATAGTTTTAAACATTATTTAAAAATTTAAAATTAAATCAGATTGAGCATTTTTACAATATAGGTATATRTATATAAACATAAACGCAACATTATGACGTAAACCTCATTAATTTTTAAAACTGAAAACGTTGTTATATATATGCTTGCCTATGATATTAATTTTTTTTTGTTTGGTTTTTGATAATTAATGCTTATAAGCTAAGCACCAGATTATCTGGGAATAGAAAACAAAAGTTTCGATCGCAAGGTGAAATGTTACATATTATTAACATTTAATACACTCTTTCGAATGAAATGCAGTATTGGTGGTGAACCTTTCAATACCAATCGACATCGACCCTTTCGAAAACCCATCGGACCGTGACAAATTATTAACGATTGCTTTTGTTTCGTTTCATACAATATATTATTATTATTGTATCGAAATTGTCTACTTTTTGCTTTTAACAAGAAAAAATAAATCAGCCGAACAACATCAATTTATGTTTGATCAACTTATAGTCTCCCGGGTAACAATTCACGTTCGTCTGTAAAAAGATAACTTTTGTCGTCCGCAAAAATCATTTTGTTGGAAATGAATCAGATTTTCAATCTTCACGCCTCAMTTTGTTGTCTCTGCATCTCATCGTGCACGATCCCTCGCCCACAACCACCCTCTTCTCGACGGTAATATCCGCTACTTAAGATGTGACCGGATCGTGTAGTACCTACCAGCTACCATCGAATGGATGATAAATGTGGAAGAAAAAAAGTATAAATGGGATAAAAAAAAAAAAAGAAGAAAAAGAAAAAGAATGAAAAATAAAAGCGTCATAATTCCCCTCTTGTGCTGTGGCAGCGTCTAAAGGACTCTACTGGAGACGACCGAGAGATTTCGATTCACTCGCGTACATTCAATTTGCCCTCCGGTCAGCACTTAATCCCTAACGAGATATAAAAATAAAAAWAATAAAACATTACCTGAAGGTTACATGTTTGCTCGGATGCAGGGAAAATGTTTGCTCTGCGTCTCGCACGTGGAAGGCCATGGGGTAAACATCATGGAATATATGTATTACGTCGTTATATAAATATTATATATTATGTGTGCACTGTGCGYAGGGTACTATTCCGTCGCATTGTCGTAGGCACAATACGATTACTTATTCCGGACTCCGATATCCGGTTTTCTGTATAATACAACGAGTGCAAAAACATAATATTTTATTAGAATATCATAGGTACCTACTATCTGACGGATTCATCCCGATCACTTTTATCATATTTTTCTCTTGCACCATTTAATACATTAATTCATGTCGAGCTACAGGTACAAAAATATCTCAACTTTACAATATACTTAATATTATATTATTTTACTTTGATCCGTGAATTGTGGGTATACCTATGTATATTACGGTATACAAGGTGATTCATAGAGTATGCTTAATCMTATTTATCTTAAATAATTCAGCTATTGAAAATTTGATTTTTGGAATTCTTAAGTATTCATAAAAACCATATTATATTCAAATCATTGATATTTTTGTACTGATAGAAAAAAGTGTCTTTTGAAGAAATAAAACTTCTAGTTTTCAATCGATAGCCCCCTTTTTTATTGAAACATTTTTAGTAGATATTTGTTTTGGAAATGTTGACATATTAAAATAAAAATTCTAAAGAGTGGTTTTTGAGTAATTTAACTGTCTTCAATGATAATTAGGTTCATAATAATGGGTTTGAAAAATATGACTATATTATGGTGAATTAGAAATTGTAGTAATTTATCGACGTTGATAGATTATAAAAATGGTCCAATTATAATAAATAGGAGATCCATTTATATCCGATAGCTTATATTTTTGTGAAATCATTTTTATGGACTAATATTTATTTATTTATTTATATAAAAATCAACGGGCCAAAGCCCTTTAACAAAGAAAGAAAAAYAATAMAATRTAAGAATTRACACAATATGAAAACTGATAGACATGTGATAATACAAAATACAATTTTACAATACGATAAGAAATACAAAGATAACATTAAGTATATAAAACAAAACAAAGAAATAATAATTAGGTGCTATGTTTTAAAAATAACAAAGTTTTAGATTTAAATACTTGACGAGACAATAAAAAAAAATCCAAGACTGTGGAGATTCTATTGGCATTAAAAATARCTCTWGAGAAAAAAKAATTTTTYCCACTATTTGTTTTAAAATTAGGTATATGGAACAAATCAGAATTATCTCTAGTACATGCATTTTAATGGTTAAGAAACTACTCAGGATAATTTTGAATTAAGACATAAAATACATCAAAATGTCCAAAAAAACTATCCTCTAATTAATTCATAATATAAAACGGGCGTTCTCAAATTCTACAGTTTGTATCGCCACATAATACTTCTTAAGTAGTAAGTACAAAAAATCTGAAGAATTCAAAAATAAAGTCTTGTACTTTAAAATTACAAAAAATTTTATTTTAATTAGTTAACTGTCATGGTAAAAAATAAGAATGAGCTTGCTTATTGATTTATTATTAATAAAATATTGTTTTATAGTACCTACTCGTATTTATTGCACATACACTCATAATGTGTTACCATCCAGTAGATCTTAGTTAAAACAAATAGCATTGATCAACAACATAAAAATCATTATGATTATAGTTATTTTTTATTGGTTTCAAATACCTGCATAATTTAGTGGATATACAAAAATTATTATGATAATAAATTATTGTATTATATATTTATTTTTTCTAACAAACTTATAGACATATAGTATACTAATATTGTAAAGGCCAAATTTAAGATAACACAGAGTGTTTTCTCTTCTTTTATACTCTTAAAAGTTATAGTTATTTATTATAAACTTTTTTGCTTATCATTATTTTATTTTTCGTACATATTTATATGAATGTTTTAAAATATAAATCAGGTTTAATTAAAATTTAAAACCATTATAAAATTATAGTATAACATTACAATTATAATTAATTGTAATTTACAATAGGTATTGAAAAATTACATTTTTATTCTGTAACGTCTTAACATAATTTGGGTTATATATTTGGTTACTATTGTTTTCGTTTAATTATCATTGGCATTTTTATAGCAGCGATAATTATGTTTAATTTGAATTATCATAATCACAGAACAGTGATTATGATAAAAACTAAAAAATTACTACGTTTTGTTTGTTAACATGAAAAGCAACTGAAATGGTTGATTATTATATTATGTAGCTAAACTTTTCGCATTTTCAAGTATTTATTTGTACCTATTACATATTATACTTACGAACTTACGGAAACAAAMCCGCTTCAAAAGCTAGGCTATAATATAATCCAACTATGTTGTGTAGCTCGTGTTTTTTTTTAACAAAACCAATTAGAACAACCCATGCGGTATGTTACATAAGTACCTATGCCACAGCAAATTTTGTGGGCGCGATATATTTTCATCACGATCTATTGCATGATTTGCATGTTGAAAACCCTTTGGAATTCCAAACGTTGAACCCTTGATCTTGACCCTTGCGCGTTTTGTACACCTTATTTCGTTTTATTCTTTTTCCATGTTTAAAGGGGGTGAGTTTCATACGTTTTCCAGTTCAGTCGTCGTCGTCGATTAATACGTTCGGTAAAAGGGGCTACTTTGAACGGTTGGATTGAGGGAACGTGGAAGTCACATGTATAAAGGAGGGTAGGCGGAGGGACTAATGAAAAAATAATAATAATATATATAGTTTATATATATATATACATATATAATAATAATATAATATGGACCCCCCTCAAAATAATTCCCGATGGAATTGTCAAGCACGATTTAAATTTATTTTGCAGTCTGTTGGACTTGAAAAATGGATGATTTAAAAATATATAAGTGCATCTAAATGTTTACATTTGAAATGACTTTTCAGTGTTCTCATGCAGCTATAGAAATATTTATTTAAGTTTTCTTTCAAATAAAATTTTTTACATCTTAAAATAAAATATTCTAAATATAAAACTTGTTCGGCATCCCTGAATTATAATAATCTTAAGACATCGTATAATATATTGGTTTCTAATATTTATTTGAATTACAAACATACTACACCTATTGCATATATATATATTGTAAAAAACCTTAATTATTATTGTACAATTATATATTATTAAAGTCTTAACGCATATTATTTATTTTATTTTGTTCCATAGCTGATGCTGCATCCCAACAAAATAAAATGTTTCTGACCGAAAGTCTGATGTTGCATGGATTTCCGGGCCACGTAAATATATTACAACCATTGGCTGTGTGTCAATACTCAAACAAACCAACAGCGGTACTATATCCGTTCAGCAACAAAGGAAATCTTAAAAAGTAAACACTAAACAGTCATATTTTATTTACATTAATGTGATTATGTTTGCGCTGCGGCCATTTATAAAACAATGCGTGTATCGTAGGTTTCTGTGCGATTGCAAACGAAAAAATAATGACTACTACAACTTGACCACACAAGATATTGTTAACATGGCCGTACAGCTTTGTTTGGGTTGTGTGTTTCTTCACAGCCAAGGCATCTGTCACAAGGACATAGCTGCTAGGAATTGTGTGTAAGTATTCTTACTACAACATAATGAATACAACATATAACATTAGATTTAGTCGGTCAAATTCAAATGCCTTTAGCCTTCAATTATTAATCAGCCCCATATTATACAAAATTCAGACTTCCAATTGAAGTGTAAATAAAGGAGTTAGAATTTAAAAATATATGCACATAGAACGTAATAAAATATTCAGATACGCAAAGATGTAACAATAAAATAAGGAATATTGACAATCAATATAGGTAGATATTATTTTAAACGTTGTTCTTTGATAATTTATAACATTAGGTATATTATATTATATTGCTACATTTAATTATTTAAATTATTATTATTTTAACAGTTACATTTTATAATATACGAAAATATATAATATCGTGTCCGAGTAAACTTATTTTGCTAGATTCATACGACGTGTGACAATAGTAAAAGAACTTAATTTTATGTCCTCTCAAAATTGTCTGTTCTTGACAATCACAAAAATATTATACTGCCATAAAAGTTAGAAGAACTTTTTTCAAATATTTTATTCTTTTGTATATGTTTATCTTCCGTTCATTGTATTTTAGGTACAGGACGTTAAATTTGTTTTGTATTTAATAAAATATTACTAGGTAAATAAATAATTTCAACAATGACCTTTATAGTTTATACTAACATTATTTTGTGACATGAAAAAAAAAAATTTTCCATAATATTTTAATATTTGATATTTTGATGATTTTGATGARGAAAAATGCAATTTATTTTTTAATTAAAATATGACAGCATTATACATTTAAAAAAAAAACCATTTTGAAAATTGAGATTAATCAAAACGATATTAAAGTTCAATGGCAAAAAAATATATATATATTTAACAATCAAGCGTATAGCATTTTAGTTGAATGTGTTCTGGATTAACTATATTAATTTTTTTGATGTTTTATTGAATATTTTAATGTAAAATTATATTAGGATATAATTTAAGAAAATATTCTAATTTTAATTTCAACGTGCTTAAAATATCGAATAATGTTTTGTTGTTTAATTTTACGGTTATAGAAGTGAAAAAAATTAATTTATCATTAAATCTGAATAAATAAAATGTAATAATCCAACAAATGTATATATACTGAAGGGTAAATATTACATACATTTAATATTCCTTTCTTGAAAGCTGAAGGGTTGCTGTATATTGATTTTAATACGAGAGTCTCGCTCTTTACACTAGATCAAGAATGCAATAAGTTCTAAAGAGGGTGATTATCATACTTTGAAATTCTATAGAGAGCGTGTTATAAAATATTATTATTACCACTGAAAATTATTTTAAACAATTTAATAACATTATATTAATATCATATAATCATCGAGCTATTTCAATTTTAGTTTAGGAAAATGTAATAAAACACGTTCTTTAATATTAAAATAATTGTAATTTTGATATTCTATACTATGTTGAATATTAAAAAGAATATTGTTGAAACGAGGTTAAATTTTCTTCGTAACAAATCCATTAGATCCTTTTAAAAATAGTTAGAGGGGTTTAGTAGGTGCGTGCTAAACGAGTTACTACATAAGCTATCTCAAAAGTTTCCCCTATCACTACATAATCGTTTGTCCATAATTCCTTTAAGCTCTTTTCAGTCTAAAACGTCGGTCGCCATGTAAATTAAAATATATATTATAATAACATTATGTGTGTGTGTGTGTAATGTGTATGTGTTTTTATATTTAGCGTGGACGAAAAGTTGCGAGTCAAATTAACCGACAGYGGATTGTCTAGAGACCTGTTTCCCGATGATTATTCATGTCTAAATGACAACGAAAATCGCCCCATCAAGTGGATGGCGCTTGAAAGTATCACTTTACGCACCTATAACGGTGCCTCGGACATTGTAAGTTGTGCTTTGTTGATTATAATACTAATTTATAATAGCTAGAAATAAAAATTTCTTTTTTAATATATAAAATTATCTGTCAATGTAAACTATTAATTAACCACATGTCCACATCATGTATGTAAGTCTAGTTTTATACTTGATCATCGTTAATATTATTTCGGAACATTGGATCTTGAAAAACTAAATGAAAAAAAAAATAATGCACTAGATGCAATTAATTATGATGCTTTAACGTCTGGTTGATTTATTAATATTTAGCTATTACTAGGAAATTCGTAACTATCATTAGGTACTAATATTCTAATTTATTCCATAAACTAAATTCACGTGTGAGCATTATCATCTATGTATTTTTTTTTTTTGTGAATTTGCATATAATATAATTTACTCAAGAAAAAAATCGAAAATACTTTCATGTTTATGATTAATAATTATGCTTAAAAATYATAAGACATATTTACATATTATACTCAATTTCGTGTATTTATTTATATTTTAGTTCCAAACTAAAAAAGTTTTCACATTTTTCTTTTAATAATTTTCTTTTTTCATTATTTTGTATTCTATAAGTTAAAATAATTATTGTTCTTCTCATTATTTATTAAACAATATACCAACATATTATATTTATTTATTTATATTAAACTATTATTTTTACTTATTAGTATGAACATAACTTATTTCTAAAATTAACTAATAATTTAGATTTTTGTACTAAAGGTATAAATAATAAATACCTATTCCGATTTTTATAAAATATTAAAAAAGTTTATTTTMTTTTATTTTCTACCTCATACTTATATGATGGAYTGATGGATACTTTATAATATTCTTCTGATTGATATTAGTGTCTATATAATTATAATCTAAAAACTATTTTTATAATATTCTACTTAGTAAACTTATAACTTATACTACTGCTACTTAACCTTTTAAAAATTAAAGCCGTGTAACATGCAATGCATCTAAAAATATAACTTTTAACGATATCGATTTTTGTTTAAAAAAAAAATGTATGGTCAAATTTCAACAGATTAAAAATGATAACACATATATGTTTTTACTTAAAATTTATTTATAAATAATCAAACTTTTAAAAACATTAGCTATTTTATCTCTACAATTATATGATACCTACCTTCTAAATTACATTGTAATGATTTAAATAAATTTATTGAATGATTAATTTACGGTGATAAATCGGTTATTAATTTTAATGTCATTCAAATTTAAACTTTTGTTAATATTACATGATTTTAAATGTTTTGAGGTGATTGATTTGTAATAACATGAAACAAAAAATCATGACTGTTGAAATTAAAAATGTAGAAGGAAAATACTWTTTTAGCAATTTTCTGTTTAATTTAACAAAAAGCGTTAAACGAACCGTCTATTTTTATGTAAATTGCCTTAACAGTGCCTTTTAAATCGATGAAGACAATATTGTGATACGACTGATACGAGTGATACGTAATATTGTAATATTTCATTTTGTATAGATTTTGCATAACTGATTTACTTAAATTGGGTAATTTGGTGTGTGATATTTTTTGTTTTCATTAAAATTATATTGTCAACTTAGTTGCATTACTATCCCGACCTTTAATTTATCGTGTTGGTTTGCCATATTAAACTTTTTCATATAAAGTGAATTTAAAACACACGCAGAAATTAATGAAAGATAAAGAATGAAAAAACACCATTGCATGATTACAGTGTAATATTATTTTAACTTTTATTTTTCAATAAATTAATTTTTGATATAATTAATAATAACATAAATTTTCAAAGATTGCCTTGTATTTGCCTGAGTATAATCTATTGGTGATAAAAACAATTTAACTATAACTAATGCAAATTAAACYATAACTATGAAATATGTTTATTTTAGTGGTCGTTTGGTGTTTTGCTCTGGGAATTGGTGTGCTTAGGTGCTCAGCCCTACTCGGAAATTGATCCGTACGATCTGAGCCTTTACCTACAAGAGGGATACAGGCTATCGCAACCAATCAACTGCCCGGACGACCTGTGAGTACTCATGGAGCAAAAAACATACCATTGAGCTACATTAACCTGAACACTATCYCACCAAAAGGGTTTCCACAAAGGGGTTATTATTTTTTTTTATTCACTTAACTCTGACGGGAGTTTCGGTCTTAACGAGCTATTCAATGAGACCTAACCAATGAGAGCGGGATACCAACCCTAAAGTAATCGAATGGCCTAAAACAAAAACAGATAATCTAGGGTTTCAATTGTGAACCAATTATTATTATAACTATTATTGTTATTATTATTATTATTGTTGTTGTTGYTGTTATTTATATATTATATTATCTTAGGTTTGGGATGATGACATTCTGTTGGCTGCCCAGTCCGGAGGAACGACCATCGTCTGCTCAAGTATTGGCGTGTTTACAGGACTTCCAAAAAACTCTCAACCAGTTTATTTAAAACGAACTATCCCTTATTTTACYACTTACTATTTTTTGTATGTTTTGTTAAATGTGTTGATGTACATATTATTAAGTTACTGACGATATACGATTAGAGGTGCTATGTATGTAAGCGTTGAGTATTATTTTGAAGAAAATTTTTTTTAATGGGCAAGAAAAAAATTAATGGAGTATTAAACAGAATGTCGGAAGAATGGAAGATATTACGAAAATGGTGAAAAATTAAACTGCCATTTATTACATATTTAAGTAAAACAATTCAATTACTTAAAATTAAACCATATTTAAACGTAAACATTATAATATACCTTTATGAGTAAATTTTTTTTAATTGCATGAACAGCAAATATATGTTTTCTTGATGTTTTTATGAATTCTATCGTTGATTATGCTGTTTTTCTTAAACACGATTTGCCCGTGTTAAATAAGTAGACTGACCTATATACATATATTATACATTTGATTTCAGAACTCAGTTGGAATGTTTCGAAGATATTTCATAGTAGCAATAATATTATTGTTAAGGATATTGTATGGACCAAATTAATAATAATATTACTTCTATAACAATCCAGAACTGATTAAATGATATAAATATGGCGTATTATTGGAGTTGACTTAAACAGTGTTAATGCATTGTATGCGTAATATATTATTATTATCTTAAATAAAATATAAGTCAACCGTTGTCGCCTCAATCGATATGGCCTACAACTTACGTTTAATAATATACAATCATATTAATATTTTTGAAAACCATTACTACATGGAACTTACAGAATAGCTGCAACTATTATAACTGATAGTATCGTTTTTCAACTTAAAAAAAAATTAAATCCTTGTGTACTCAAACAAAATCTGAAATACCTCATTTGTAGAGCTGCTTGAGATAATTTATACATACTATTTGTATATTTTTAAATTAAAACAGCTTATTTCCATTATGTATTAAAATACCTAATAACTATGTAAGTGTTCAAAAGTTCATTCGAGAGACAAGAGATAATTATAGAGCAGAGCTAGTACATATAGTACCTACGAGGACAACTATAAACACGGACAACTTTTATGTTTGATAGGTGTATGGGTTAACGCACAATCGAGTTTTATTATGCACTATAATTATTATCACTATAACTCAACTGTGCAAATTTCGAATTCCAACGCCATGTTGTAATCCGTGTTGTTGCAGGTAATGCGGGTTATTATACATTTTTCAGATCGATGGGATTTGCTCGTTGGCATTTAAATATAAGTAATAATAATTCGATAAAAAATTCAYCGTCGAGGTTTGTTTTTAACGTATTAATTAACATTATTTGAACAATTGCATATCGGTAGGTACCTAATAATTATTATTAAACCATCGCTGCCGTTGTATTGGTTTAGTTTTTTACATACATTACAAGCATATGGGGCATCACACTGGATATACTGTACCATATTATGCATCAAACTTTGATTGGAATAATTTATAATACACGAATTTAAATCTACATTCACTATACGGTATCAGTGTGCATATTTTTAATTTAATTGGAATGAACTATATAYGAACATGTATAATATAAATATAGGTATAATACACGTGGGAGATTGTGTGTGTGCGCGCAAATTTGATTATTTATTGTCCGGTATTCCCAATACGTTGAACATCAAAATCAAAATGCACTCAGACAGCCCTAATCGGGAACGTGCTTGTGTATATGTGTAAAGGTGAGCGCGTATAGTAATAGTAATTTCGTTTTATTGGTCGACGTATAAAGTTTAATGACGTCGAACCGTTAAAAGAGCAGAGTTGGTCGTGGTCGGTGTACAGTGAAAAGTATATAATATAGTTGGCATGCCTATTATAATCGGTATGTGTATGCAGGCATARGTAATAACCTATATAAATATTATACGATTGCTATTATTATTATTTATTATTTTTTTTTTCAAACGATCTGTAGAAATATTACCATATTACACGAGAACTCGTTCTACTGATAAAAAAAAAAAAAAAAACTGTTGGCGATTTTATGGAGGACAAGGGTAAAACAGAGTTTGTCGATAATATTGTATAGACATAATATAATAAATACATAACAATATGTAAAACGATTTCAACGATTTTCATTTTTTTTTCACCATTTGTTATTATTATGCATTCGAGTATTAAACAATATATATTATAAATATTATTATACCTACCATCGGGTTGCGTATTTAGTCGTTTTAGTGCCAAGTACACATAAAAATGAACTCGAAAACGCGCCAAGTGTACATTTAACAATAATAATAATAATCGCAGTATTAATTTGCTGAGCAAACATAACTATAATATTATTCAGTCGWATATTATTAATCATTCACTGCCTTTCACGCCACCCTCTACCCACCATCAATACTCGTCGTTCATCCACCGGCCAGCAACATACATAAAATAATATATAGTTCCTCTCTCACCTCCTCCACTTTCCACTTTCYATGAATAATAATACCACTCGAACAATTCACGCTGATCTCTCTCTCTAACAGTAATCGTGGCTTTTGCCGCTGGACACGCATATATATATATATTGCACCCCTCTCACCATCACCATGCACCGGAAGGCTGAATTTCGATGATGCACACGCATGGAACACTATAGAAGGTATTGTTATTATTTTGATTTATATATATATATATATATATATTTTAATATATTATAAATATATATATATATTTAAAGTATAGTTTTTAATAATAATGTTATGCAATTTTATAGAGTAATATAATATAATATTTTGTTCTGACAGTATTGTTCAACAATATATAAAAAGTAATTGTGTCTCGTAGTGGCTTATTGGTAACCCAACGAGTATATTATAGATTTATACAAAACAAACAAGTCTTAAGTAGATAAGAAAAAATTCCCTTAGTTTTTTTTGTCCATAATCTRATTAAATCAAGGACAGAATTGTAATCATACAATATAATTATTAATTCTCACTCTTATCATAGTAACTTACACATGTATCTTTTTTCCTGTAAATATCGTGTCGTCGAGTAGGTCGTAAAAATTACATATCTACGACGTTTCAYTCAAATATTTATGTATATTATATATATTATATATTATTATATATATATAATAAAAGTTTACCTTACTTATATAAAGATAATTTGCAACTTTAACAATGGCATAGATATTTTTAGCGTAACTTTAGCCCTGTAATTTTTGGACAGTAAAAATTAATTTGAATCGTATTTGTAACTGAAATCCACAAGACCCTCGCATGATGGCGCTTAAAGGTAAAAAAAATGTCTATGGTTTTATCCATTTACTTTGATTGCAATATCCTTGTATAGTTATATTCTGTATTAAAGGGACTTCATACACCACCTAACATGAACAAAATRGCTCAATTTTCTTTCCAATCCAGGGACCTGCATCTATGGGAGGTGTCTGGAGATCTTTAATAGTTTAATCGTTTTATATGTGAAATCATCAAACTATATATTGTGTATATTGTGATATTGTGTGTGTGTATTTTATATTATATACTATGAAATGAAGAAAAAGTAGAAAGTTTTACGATGAAAAAATATAATGAACTTTAGGAGTTGAGACCAAGATATGGATTGAAACTCCGATAATCGGTTCTGTAAATTCGCTAAATATGAAATGTACTTTGAAAACTAAGTTTTTCAACTGCATTCAAATTTAAGATGCCAAAGTTGAAAATGGGATTTTGCTTATTATAAAATAGGAATTAACTTGGAGTGTTTTTGAGTTATTTAAACTCTTTATTCCACCTAGATTTAAACGTAAATATTAGATATTTTAGATATCACGTATATATTATAAATTATAATATATTTAATACATTATACTTTTTTATAGCACTTTTATGATTAGGTATTAATAGGAATATTATGGAATGATTGTATGGATGATCTATCTACAAAATATAGTAAGTATATTATTTATTTATACTTATAGAATAGATAGTTTATAAGTAATGAAAATAAATGAAAGGTAATGAATACAATTTTAAAAATCGACAATTATTTATAATCGTGGTCAAATTGAATAATTTTTTTTAATCTGTACTCAGGTATTAATAATTTGTATTCATAATATAATTTACAACTACGATATTAATATTCACTGTACAAATACACGAATAACATAACAAGCTATTAGGAGTATCTAAAATATATTCTAATAAAATATATTTTTTTAAATTTTTTTATTAAATATTTTTGGATTCATCTCTCTATAAAATATAATAATTTTAATAATTTTAACTTTAATTTGGTCATTTTATAGTATCAGTGACATTCGTTAATTTATCACAAATACAGCAAATGGTTAATGTATAAGTTAACTATGATTACATCATACTATTACATTAACACAAATAATCTACAAACTACAAGTCAATACGTAGCTGAGTTTTTTTGGTTTATTGTATGGGAGAATAAAAAATATATATATACTTTTCATGGATACTTTCAGACGGGGTAGTTATATTTATACCAATAGTACTTTGTTGATTACTTTTGTCGAACGATGGATGGATCCTCGTTGACATAGACTGCACTTTCTAATATTGAATATATATAATATATAAAAATGCATTTTCATGATCAGTATGATATGCGGTAATACAATTCCAAATGGCGACGTGTCGGCATAAAATAAATAGTTAGTCTGTTAAAATACTTTTATAAAATTATTATATTTCAATATTAATCGATTCTAAATTCTAGATGAYCTGCTATACCGTAATCGTTGAATTTAAGACTGAGTGAAAGTGAGGAGCTTATTTATGACACCTGTATTTAAAAAAATTGATTTTGATTTCTTTCGTATAATTTAAATTTGATGTTAAAGACGTAGAACTGTTAAAAATTATTTATATTAATGCCGAACAAGCATTTTTTACGATACTCTTGAATTTTTTWAAAATATAAAACAAATATTGATATTTTTTTTACAAGAGTTTCTAATAGAACTATGCAATTTAATTTTTAGTTAGAAAATTCAAGTAGGTATACCCTTACTAAATATAGTGAATAAATACACAGATAATAAAGAACTATATTCTATAACCTACTTCATTTTCTCATAATTCTAATAGGTATAATGCATATTATATTATATCTTGTATAAGTATTAAGTCGTAACATTTAAATCAAAATCTATGTGATGCAAAATGTTTATTTTTATTTTAGATAACGTTTATTTCTCTATATTTTTCTACATAATACACAATATTTGAAACCCCTAACAAATAGTAGTGCTTAAGTGAAAATACTTAAAAATACACTCACGTAATAAAACCGCACTGCAACTTTCATTATTATGCCTATCCAACCGTTATATGTGTGTGTGGCCATTATCATTTGTGTATACTACGTGCAAGACAACCCCTCGGTCAAAAATAATAACGACTCACAGCAATTAGGCTTACGTTTGTTTCATTTATCGTCAATTTCCATCACGCTAACATAAACATAAACATAAATACATAATATGCATATAGTATAAATGTTTA